GGTGTGTCGCCGCAGCGGGGAGGTCGTCGAGGTCGGCAGGGAGTGGGAGATGTTGACGGGCTGGCGGAGGGATGTGTTGCGTGGAGAGAGGCGGAATCGGAACGTTAACCCCGAGTGGAGGAGGAGTCATCGTGGTGCGGAGGCGGGTCGGGGAGATGGGGATGGGAAGGGGGAGATGGTAAAGAGGCCGGTGTTTCTCGCGGAACTGATTGATGATGATTCCGTGGTCGAGTTTTATGAGGAGTTTGCGAGGCTTGCATTTGGGGATGCGAGGGGGAGCGTGATGACCACGTGTAGGGTTGTGACGTATTGGGAGGAAGGGGGGGAGGGGGAGGAGAGGAGGAGGGGGGTGACTGGGGGGGATGGGACGACCGTGGAGTGCGCGTTTTGTTGGTGGGTTAAGAGGGATGTTTTTGATATCCCCATGCTGATTGTTGGCAATGTGAGTATTGGGATTCCTGCGGTTAGGAGGAGATGGGGGAGGATATAGAGAGTTGAGTTGAGTTGACTAACGACGTGATGGTTACAGTTTCTGCCGATTTTGGGGAAGGCCAGTGAGTCGGGATAACGACGGTCGTCAAGTCGATACGCTGCCTCTCATCGCCGTCATTACCATTACAGCAACATCCACATCCACACCCTTATTTCATATTTCATATTCTTTCCCTTTGCGCCTAGTTTCCGTTCCACCTCTCGCCGGGGCCTCTTCTCTAGGGGGGGAGAGCTGGGAGATGAGTGATGCACCATGCCACGCGTCACACACGAGACGATACGATACAAGACGAATGCAGCGATCGGGCGATCCCGGAATCAACAACTACGCACGGAAACGGCGGAACGAAACGGAGAAGCACGGCACTGTGCTGTATATATACGCAAGGGTCGGGGGGCCGGGAGATTGGACCGCGATGAGATGCGATGGTGCGGGGAGATGAGATGAGATGAGATAACGTTAGTTAAGGGTCCAAAGTGCGCGGGGCATGAGAGGAGATATCGGTATTCGGGTGCATTGTTTTATGGCGTTTCTGGGGCAGAGCATTGAGGGCGTGGGTATACACACAAGGGGTTGATCGTGATATCGAGTCACAGTTCATGACGGTCATGTGAAATGCATTAAAATCGATGTTGTGGACAACTATGCAGCTTCTTTGGTGATTTATGCTATTGGTGATTCATGTTTCGAAATATACTGGTTAATGATGATATCAACTGGAATCCAGATCATGTTCCTTGTTATGCGAGACACGCGTCGCCTGAAGAGTGCCGCATCCGGATTGTACCATAGTGTGTGGGTGTCGTTCGTGACGCAATGGGGTGCTCAAGCGGCGATGGTGATGAGGATTCATTCACTTGTAAAATTGCGAATTGTCGAGCCTCCCAACTACCACGTCCAGGGGCATCCAGATTCGCCATCCCCCATCATGGCAAAGTCATTTTTAAATTACCGTAGTCTGTATTTTGCATAGCTGCTTGCCTTGACTTGCCGAAACGGCGGCCCGGGTAATCGCCACTAGGTGTTCGTCACCATCCAACCTCCCTCCCCTCCTGCTCCTCCTTTTTTTTTCTTTCTCTCCCTACTCTCGCTTGCCAACGACCCTTTTCCCCCGCTGGAATCCACTCTCGATTTCGTAAACACCAGTTTTTACCCATCCTACCGTCAATTCGAATTTCCTCGTCCTCGTCCTCGTCGAATTCTCCCAGCTACAGCGAATGCCGACGCGCGTCCGCCCTCGCCATGGCATCTCCACCCCCGGGACCACGCCCACCGCTCTCCGCAGCCTCACGAAACTTGCATTGATGCTCGCCGCACAAATCCCGGCGCTACACTCTCTCCCGACATCCTCGAGCCCCCTCCTCTCTCACAGCGGCGACGATGGCGGTAACGAGCTCGGCGAATCACCAAAGTCGTCCGAATTCTGGATTAATGTTGGGATTGCGTTTTTTCTTGTCGTGCTAGGAGGGATCTTTGCCGGCTTGACGCTGGGACTGATGGGGCAGGACGAGATCTATCTGCAGGTGATTGAGCAGAGTGGTGAGGGCAAGGAGAAGCAGGATGCGGCAAAGGTGCTGAGGTTGTTGAAGAGAGGGAAACATTGGGTTTTGGTCACGCTGCTGTTGAGTAATGTCATTACGAATGAAACGTTGCCGATTGTGTTGGATCGGAGTTTGGGTGGTGGATGGCCGGCTGTGTTGAGCTCGACAATATTGATTGTGATATTTGGCGAGATTATTCCACAGAGTGCGTGTGTGCGGTATGGCCTGGGGATTGGCGCCATGTTTAGTCCGTGAGTTTCTCGGGGTGCTGGGATAAGGAGAGAAGACTGACGGGTTGTAGTTTCGTCCTGGCTCTCATGTATCTCATGTATCCAGTCGCCTACCCGACCGCGCTGCTCCTCGACTATATTCTCGGCGAAGACCACGGCACCGTGTACAAGAAGGCGGGTCTCAAGACTCTCGTGACTCTCCATAAAACCCTTGGCCCCTCTCCGTCAGATCGTCTTAATCAAGATGAAGTCACCATCATCTCTGCCGTTCTCGATCTCAAAGACAAACCCGTTGGCTCGATCATGACGCCGATCTCCGACGTGTTCACCATGTCAACCGATACAGTTCTCGACGAAAAGACCATGGACAAGATTTTATCCGCCGGGTACTCGCGAATCCCGATCCATGCTCCAGGCGAAGACACGAATTTCGTGGGCATGTTGTTGGTCAAGGTCCTCATCACATATGATCCAGAGGACTGCAAACGTGTCGGCGAATTCCCGCTTGCAACACTCCCGGAAACTCGTGAAGACACGAGCTGTCTTGACATTATCAATTTTTTCCAGGAAGGCAAGAGCCACATGGTGTTAGTCAGCGAAACGCCTGGCGAGAATTCCGGTGCCTTGGGAGTTGTCACTTTGGAAGACGTTATCGAGGAGCTTATTGGCGAGGAGGTAAGAACCCATTTCCTGGATCTTTTATTTCACCAGAACTGACGTTTTAGATCGTCGACGAATCCGATATCTACATCGACGTTCACAAAGCCATCCGGCGCCTCAACCCCTCCCCCATGCTCCCCTTCCTCAACTCCACCCACCGGCGCTCCATCTCGACACACTACATCAACCGCAACGCGGACCCATCGACTATCGCCTCCACAGTCTCAGAAATCGCACAATCCGCCGTCGCCCACGACAACTCCACCAACGTCATCATCTCCCACACCCCCGAAACCCAACCCCTCCAATCCCCTCCACCAGCAGCAACCGACACCCCCGACCCCCCCGCCGCCACCGACGAGCGCGGCCGTCGCCTCTCCAAAAAGGGGCTTGGGCTCGACGAAGCCATACTCGCACATCTCGCACCCGCCAACCTTGCAAACCGCCCGCGAGAGACCACCTCAAAGACCATCAAAATTAAGCCTCACGCCGGAATCCCCGCGATCGTTACGACCCCACAGGCAGGGCAGCAGGTCGTCAAAGACTACGGCACGATAACGAGCCCGACGGACGGTGCTTCCCCTGCCCCGTTTTCATCCCTGCCATATACCGACACTCCTCCTCCCACCGCTCCCGCTCCCACTCCTGGTCCGGCTCCCCAGCCAGCGAAAGCAAGATCAGACTACCTCCTGAAACCGAGGAAACACAAAAAAGCGCGCTCTGGGAGCCTCGTCGAGAGAGTGGAGAATCGCGATGGATTCAGGAAGACGGTGATTGAGACGACGAGCTCAAGTGAGAGCGGGAGTGAGAGTGAGGAAGGGAGTAGGTATAGTGGGCGCAGTGGGAGGAGTTGGAGAGATAGGGCGAGGGGACGGGAAAGGGAGGAGGAGGGGAGGGGGCTGTTGGAGGGTGAGAGGGAGAGGTAGCGGGTGTGAAGAGGGAGGGATTTGTAGGAAGTAGAGGAGGAGTAGATGGATAAAGGGATGTTAGGTAAGTTGTAGAGATTCCACGGGGACAACGGGGGGGGATACAAAATATCAGCAGAGCGCAGTACAGGGCAGGACAGGACAGTATGCATCTATATACATTGGCCCGGAGCTTTTTGAGTCGTTTCTTTGGGTATCTTTTTGGGTGTCGTTTTGGGTGTCGTTTTCTCGTTTCCTTTCATTTCTTTCTTTGTCGTTTTGAGGAGCAGGTTGCTGTTTGTTATTATATTATCCCATTTTAGTTTATTTTATTGATTCCATAAAGTTCGCTGCATTGTAGTACCGGTATGTGGTTGCTCGTAATTTTGGAGTAGAGTATATTCAACTGGATAGATTTTTGGTTCCAGTTGTTTCCAGTGTTTCCATTTCCGGTCTTCCTCGCGTCCCAACCAGATCTCTGATCGTGCGGTCGTCGTTGTCATCGTCTATAATAGCGGCGAGTCGTTATGTCTTGCTTTCTCTCGTCTTTCGTCTTGCTCTCGTCTTCCTCTCGCCTCCTGCATCTTCGTTGTTCTTGTACTATATATAGAACACATTCCTCATCATCTCAACATCATCGATAGTTCCAGCCCGGCCACAACCTCTCTCAGACCATACCGCACCGTACCGTTCCGTGCATTCTGTCGCGGGATATACCTACTAGTACAGGATAGTTGACATGATCCAGGGGGTGTGTAGAGTATGTAATTAGTGAAAGGCTCGTTCAAGTTAAAACTTAAATCAGCTACCGGTATGTTACTGTAGAGTCTATATTCGTACAGGACGATGCAGCGCCGTCGTAGAAACCTCGGGGTACCTAGTGGGATGCGATGAAAGTGGGGAGATATGTCAGGCTATGGAGCGATGAAGAGAGTCGGAGATATGATAGATATGACTCGAGACTAGTAGATAGCAAAGATAGGGATCACGCTACGTAATTGTACTTGTGATATCTACACCCAACCACCCAATACCGCATCTCTATTGCACTTTTTTCTCCCGAGCCTCGATTCCCGACTCCCCTCCCCTCACCTCATCTCATCTGATCCTCGCCCAACCTTTCTCCAACATCCCCATGACAACCTTTTATGACAAGTCTCCATGACTCCCTGCTTGGTTGGCTCAGTTGGTAGAGCGTTGGTCTCATACGCAGTAGTGCAATGACGGTTTCGAGCGCGAAAAAAAAAAACGAAGCTGATATCCAAAGGCCGTGAGTTCGAGCCTCACACCGAGCATGCTTTTTTTTTTTTTTTGATGGGAAACGGTAGATTCAACAGGGGAGTCCAACCTGGTCGTATACTCACTCGAGTAGTAAGTATTCTATGAGTCTACGTGAATGTCACCCGGGGAATCCTTGCGGATCGGCCCGCTGTTCCCTCCGCTTCAGCTGTCAACTTCCCGCATCCGCGGGAAGACTAGACCGTGGTCTACCGTGGTCTATATAGTACCACTCCAGACTCCATCCGCCAGACTCGTCGGTATGGAGTCTAGACGCTGGGTCTAGAATTCAGCGGCGGTGTAGAGAGTCTAGAGTCTAGACATCGATTAATGGATTGGATTTGATGGTGGGCGTACAGTGGAAGGTGCACCGGTATTGCTCTATAAATCCGGGGAATCGGGACGGATGAAGCAAGCGCTCAGGCAACATCGATCACCATCGCCCACTCAACACTATACCATATTCAAGTTCAGCATCACGGCTTCTCATTATCACAATAGGGTGAAAATGGACAACCCATTAACCCATTCATATAACCAGAAAATCTTATTCCCCACATCACTCTACTGAGTACTGTAGCTACATGGGAACAACAGGTCATCCTAAATCCCCTTCCCACCTCTCCTCTCCCTTTGCCCCTTCCCTTCCTCTCCTCTGCTTTCAATTTTCAACCCCAAAGCCAAGAGAGCGCTCTTGCGCCCAACGTAATAAAACAACCCAGTCCCAAACGATACCGAAAAAAAAAAAAAAAAAAAAAAAAAAAAAATTCAATCCATCCGATGCTACCCAAAAATAAAAAAAAATCCCGCAATAAACACCGAATTATTTCCCAACGCGCGCGCACATGTCCCAGAGTCGCAAAGAAAAAGCCAGTCCAAACAGAAAAAAAGTAAAAGTCAAGCAAAAGGAGGGGATAAAGGGAAACAGCACCCGCCCAAGCCCAGCCCAGGCCACAACATCCGCACCACAAAACCATCTAAGGCAATAACACCACTCAAGAACAAAGCCCCCCGTGCCCACCTCACAACGGAGATATTCAAGCCTTATTACTCTCCATCTCTTTATACGCCTCCAACACATGTCTCGCGTCCTCACTCCCCTTCTCGAATCCCAGCACATCTTCCACCAAATCCTCAATCTCACCCTTCTGAATCCGGCTTCTAATCTCGACACTCTGCTTATCCTCCTCGTTCTCATACCACAGCGCCGCGGCAATCGATTTCAGCAGGTTATCAAACGGGAGGCCAAACTCCTTGGCCATCTTGACTGGGCCGACGAGGCGATCTGAGGGTGCGAGTTTCCGCAGCGGGTCGCGACCAACCCGTTTCACGTCGTCCTTGATGTACGGATTCCGGAAGCGGTTCATGATTTTCTCGATATACTGTTGATGCTTGCTCCACTCGAAGCCGTGTTTCTTGCACAACGCTTTCCCGGACTCCGTCATGGCTCCGCGTACAATCTTCTCGATCCATGGGTCCTTGAGGGACTCCTCGACGGTGGCGTAGCCCTTGAGGTTACCGAGATAGGCGCAGGTCGCATGGCCGCAGTTGAGGGTGAAGAGTTTGCGCTGGACGTATGCGACAAGGTTGTCTGTGAGCTTCATACCGTGGATGTCTGGGACTGGGCCACGGAATTCGGGCTTCTCGACGATCCATTCGAAGAAGGCTTCGACACCGACGGAGAGGATGTTTTTGCCCTCTTCGAACGGGGGGACGATGCGGTCGACGGCGCACGAGGGGAAGCCGACGTATTGTGAGAGGTAGTCCTTGTCTTCCTGGTTGGGGAGATGCTTCAACACCTCATCCCGGAGAACGGCCGACGCCTTGGTCATATTCTCGCATGCGATAACGTTGAGATACTCCTTCCCCTGCTGTCTCCGTTCCGAGATGCCGGCCGCGATCGAACGAGCCACAATCTTGAGAACCGCGGGGCCGACAGCAGTGGTGACGATCGAAGCATTGAGAATCGCGCTCTTCAACGCATCCGCATCCTTCGAGTTGACACCGCTAACATTCGTAATCTGCTCTGTCCGCTTGTCGACATCAAGAATCTGGATATCGTAGCTATGGTACTTGTTGAGCGCATCGATCAGCGGATCCGCGATATCGGCGAAAGTGACGTGGTAGCCGGATTTCGACAACAGTGCGCCAATGAAGCCGCGGCCAATGTTGCCAGCGCCAAAGTGGACGGCTGTGGGGGACGACATGTCGATCTGAACTGAGGATAACGTTGAATCGTCTATTGATTCCGAAGAAGAAGAGGAGGAAGAGGAGACGATATCGGAGGTCTTCTCAGGTGCGAGTGATGGCGGGGTGGACGCAACGTGGGAGCGCGCTATGTCAAATAGCCTCAGTACGTGTTGTGAGAACACCGACATGACGTTTCCCATCTCAAGTGAAAGAACAAGAAAATCCCAGGATAAAGCAAGGAGCAGAATCGAAACGTCACAACCGATGACGGAACGAAGAGGGTATAATGATAAGGGAGAGAGAAAAAGAGCAGAAACACACCTGATTATGTAGGCAACGGCCTCCGTAGCAGGCAAAGACAAGAGCGGAGGAATCCGGACTGTTAACCTGTTAACGGTCGTTAGCCTCTGGGGGGGAGCTTTCGGATAATCGCCCGAAGAACCGAGGTGGCTAGGGAGGGCGCGTACCGGAAGAGCTAGCTGGGATGTGTATGTGGGAGAGCGATTACAAGGGCG